TCATAAGTAAATCTGTTTGAGAAGATTTATTTTCTAAATTTAGGCAAGCTGGATTTGACCTTAATCCTGAAAACAGCAAAAATATACCCCTATGAAAATTCCTATTTCACAGTTTCTAATGAGTATTTCATTGACAGTACTTGTAAGCTCTTTCTATTTCAAGCAATGACTAAAAAATACTGTTTTGTCAAAAACAATTAGTCTTATTCAATAACGGACAAGGTCTACTGATAATAGATTCCACACACTATTATAGTGCTATAGGAGAGCTAAGCATTATATCTGTTATTGGCCGTAATTATCTTTCCGGCAGAATTAACCCTCCCAAACCATTACTGTTTTTGGGAGGTATATGGATTGAATCCTACTATCCCAACATTTCTTACAGCATACACCTTCCATAGCCGCACTTCATATCCATTCATAGCTGCACTCCATATCCATCCATAGCGGCACTCCATATCCATCCATAGCGGCACTCCATATCCATCCATAGCTGCACTTCATATCCATCCATAGCTGCACTTCATATCCATCCATAGCGGCACTCCATATCCATCCATAGCGGCACTCCATATCAATCCATAGCTGCACTTCATATCCATCCTATCCATCCATAGCTGCACTTCATATCCATCCATAGCTGCACTTCATATCCATCCATAGCGGCACTCCATATCCATCCATAGCGGCACTCCATATCCATCCATAGCGGCACTCCATATCCATCCATAGCTGCACTTCATATCCATCCATAGCAGCACTCCATATCCATCCATAGCGGCACTCCATATCCATCCATAGCGGCACTCCATATCAATCCATAGCTGCACTTCATATCCATCCTATCCATCCATAGCGGCACTCCATATCCATCCATAGCTGCACTTCATATCCATCCATAGCTGCACTTCATATCCATCCATAGCTGCACTTCATATCCATCCATAGCTGCACTTCATATTCATCCATAGCTGCACTTCATATTCATCCATAGCTGCACTTTATATCCATCCATAGCGGCACTCCGTATCCATCATTTTTTTATACTCATCAAGGAAGTACAATTTTGAGAATAACTTAACCAAGTTAATCTTAAACCTATTGAACTTTTAATTCTAGTCAACAATAAACAGAGACCTATTTGCATCAGTCAAAAGACTTTTCCCACTAAAATTGTTGAAAATGCTCAATTTCCTTCACAGGACAAAGAGAAAGTAATTATTACAAGAAAAACTTCATAAATCTATCTTGGACTGTATTTCTGTATGTAACACTGCTTGTTGTCTTATATACTATGACAGGTTTTTAATCCAAGTTCAATAACTCATTCTTAATTGATTTTTTTGGGTAATATAAAACATCTTTAGATTAGTTTCATTTCCAACGAAGATAACTTGTCATTTCCCATGGAAGCTTCTTTTGTTTTCTAAACATTAAATCTTTACTGAACTGTTATCCACTGGGAATAACACAATATACTATGTCCCATTTTATACAATGATTGACACATCTGTTTATTACATGGCAAGGAAGATCCCTGATTAGCTACAATGATTAAAGTTAAACATTTCTCCTTTTTAAGAGTGATAAAACTTTCATGTCTACTTATAGAACATAGCTTTCATTATCTGAAGAGGCCTGAGAAATTGGTCTATTTCAGTAATGCTGTATTGATCACTATTTTGGAGGTTGATATTAAATCAATGGACAGACACTACTGTTGTGATCATGGACAATATTAATCTATAAATCAAACACGCACTTTCAAAGGTCCTAAACAAATGGAAAGGCCACATTTTATCATTCTAATGATTTATACATTTTTCTTTCTAGTTTCCACAGGTCAACTTACATACATACATATGTTCCTTTTTTATCCCAATAATTTTTAGCATAAATTCTGCAAGTTTTGGTTAGGTCAGATCATCTACAGATTATGTACATCTTTTTAAGCAGCAATCTTCCAACAGTTGAAAGTGAAGTTAGTAGTACAAATGTAAATGTATTATTAAAGTTTTGCAATTTCATTTCAAACAAGAATTCTAGAAGCTCTTGATGCATTTTGACTTCTTGGCTTTCCAATTTAATATCTGCATGATTTCAACTGATATATAAATTACTAAAACTACTCAACCTGACAAATTTACCTAGGCCAGTACCACTCATATAGGATCTAACGGACAAATTTACCTAGGGCCAGTACCACTCATATAGGATCTACCTGACAAATTTACCTAGGCCAGTACCACTCATATAGTATCTATACATGATACTGATCTTCTAGTCAAGATTCTAAAAACAGAACATTAACAGTACTTTTGCAACTGAAGAAACCTAAAAATTTGCAGAAAAAGTTTAAGCAGGCATTTACCAATAATTGCCACAACCACCTTATATAAAGCAATGAAAAACAATTTTATCATTCATCATTTGCAACTATAAGCCCCTTCATTGAAATTGGAAACTCATGCAGATTTACACAGCTGGTTTAAAAGTTTTAAATTGAATACTTTTTGATGAAATTCATCTCATTAAATGTATAAAACCTTTTTGGAAACCCATTTATAAAAAAAAAAATAAAAAATAAAAAGGGGCATTTTGTTTTAAGACACAATCACAAGATGAATTGAAGTATAAATATAGGTTTAGAACTACCCTAATCTTCCTCCAGAATATTTATATACACGTGTCACTATATATTCCCTTCAGTTTAAGATGATTAGATATGATATCAGTATGGATGGTAACTGTTGATACATGTTCAGGTGCAAGTCATGTGCTTTACTGCACAATATATCATGGAATAACACCCATATGATGTAATTATCATCTGATAGAGAAGATCTTAAATTTTATTATGGGATGAAATCAGAGATAAATTAATAGACCATTTCTGTTTGTTTTTGTATTGATTAATTATATGAAGCAAAACCTGCTTTGTTGACCTTGTTAAAGCAACATTTGGGATATCTCAACTTGAGAGTGATTAAAGGTTTTCTTTGAGATACTTGTAATAGGAAGCTAAATTTACCTTTGCAACAATCAAAGCTTCCAACTTGTTAGATTTCAGTTCCTGTAAATCTTGAATTTTAACAAATTGCAGGTCATGAAATCTGCAGATTCTTCCCCAATATTATAGAACCTATAATTTACTACTTAACAAAATTAATTCAATGTACTTATATTATTTACAAAGCTTGGACCTGCAAGATTTATATAAATTTCACTTAAAAGTTCGGCTTATTCAGCTTGGAATCTAAGATTATAATAAAATTATGCTTCTGTTTCTTAACATTGATACCCTCATGGTTGTGAATTTATATTATAAGAGAATACACATACTTGATATCATAAATGCATTTGACAATAAACTGGTATCAGAACAAGACTAAAAATCTAATGCATTGTGGGTAAATTTCATTGTTCCTACATCAAACTGAAAATAATGTAACACAGAAAGATTACTTAGGATTTGTTGACGATTCACAGTGCTTGATGTTTGCTTTGAAAATATAATCCAGTATTTTTGTACATAAATTAGGCCGTTGGTTTTCTCGTTTGAATTGTTTTACTTTTGTCATTTCGGGGCCTTTTATAGCTGACTATGAGGTATGGGCTTTGCTCATTGTTGAAGGCTGTATGGTGACCTATAGTTGTTAATTTCTGTGTCATTTGGTCTCTTGTGAAGGGTTGTCTCATTTGCAATCATACCACATCTTTTTTATATTCATGAAATTCTAAAATTGGTATTCTTTACTAGCTGCTGGAAAATAACTTGAATGAAAATTTTCTTTTCTTTTTTCAACTAAATGTATACTGATATTTCTGTTCTTTTCTGGATTTTATAAGCTATAGAGATTAACACACATGTCCTTAGTAAAAAAAAACAGGTACTTTTGTCTGTATTTAAGCCATTTCTGTTATCTAAAGTGATAGTTCTTAAGATCAACAGTCAAAATTGAATATAGCATATTTTTTTAAAATTTATAAGTTGGGAAAGATTGTCAAATAAGAATCTCAACCTATCTACCCCTCAAAAATAAAAAAAAATCCCACAAAAAACTAAAACAAACCAGTAATAACTCATTTTCAGAAACATTGCTTCTATCTGATACTTTTTCAGATCAAAATCCAATTTCTAACTTAATATGTGAAATTACATTGCAGAACAGGTCAGGAAACAAGGATTACTAGCGAGAATCTTAAAAAACAATCTAATTGCAAAACAAAAACTATGATTGGAAATGGTGTAATTAAAGTCTCATCTTTAATTCATCCCAGATTCTTACAAGTAATATACTACAAAAGGGTTAATTGAAAGGTTTTTAAACCAAAATACAACACCTAGAGGTAATTTACTTTATAGTCCTAGTTTGACAGAATGTTGGACAAGATGAGAAGATTTTACCCAGTTTAATTAACATCTCATCACATTCCCTATTTACCTGTCTGTATATTCCTCTCTTTCTGAGAGTCTGCCAGCAAATGCAATACATAACCTGCTGTCTATAAGAACTTACAACTAGGGTAAACACATTAATTTCAATACACATATATATAAACATTAAATTTTTAATTATGTTGCATTGATTAAAATTCTGTCTAGTAATAAAAAATGGTTTACATTCAGAGGTGGATTTAGGGGAGGGTGACTGGGTGCCCCTGTCCCTTATGGGGCTACATTTATGGTTAATCCACTTTTTTTAACATATTCAACACCAAACTTTGTCTAGTTTGGGCCCCCTTTTCAAACACTTTAATCCACATTTGTCATTAATATGTTTGATTTATTTTTTGTGGGACACACTCCTATTCCTGGATTTCTCAGATCCAGGCCTAATTCAGTGGAGTCAGGTACTGTTGGTTGATATGGTCTGTTGTACTGGTCAGTATCTATGGGCATTCTTGTTATACTTTTTACATATTTATTATTAATTTTTTTATACTAATAAATAAGTGAACTTACCTTTTGTATACTAATAAATAAGTGAACTTACCTTTTGTATACAAACAATGATCCCTCTATTTCTGTTCTTTCCTGAAAAAGTATAAAAAAGATAATTAAAAACAAATGGAGAAAGTCTTTAAAACTAGCAATGTAATATATGATGATCCTATGAATTATAAGAGATATCAGGTTACACATTTTGTATATCTCCTTTTATTTATATCATGTAACTTAGAAACCCAACATGCAAAAACAAAACAAACTGTCATCAATGTCAAGGTATATATCTCCAATGACTATATGACATACATGTTGTATAAATGTGAGGATAATACGACCATAAGAAGGCTGAAAATTCAAACTGGACGTTTTGTCTTCCACATAGACAAACTTAATTTTACTTGATTTTAATGATTGATTGCTGTTTAAATGGAAATATACAGTACATATTTTTGTGAGTGACACTTCTATATCTCTCCTTAAAAATTGATCAGAAGTTGATGTTTTTTTGTGTTGTTAGGTTGCTGTCTCATTGACATACTCACTTCTCCTTTCATTCAAAAGAATCAATAAAATTAGTAAATTTTCAATTTCCAAAAAATTTTAACAGCAAAAGGACAATCTGACATTCTTTTTTGTAGTAAGCCTTGGGATGTTCTAATAAATGTAAGTGTACTACAAGTCCTATGTGACATTAGGTTTACATCTGAACTTTTAGAAATTATAAACATTTTATTTCAGACACAATTTCATATGCCATTTTTTACAACAGAGAACCATTTAGAACATAATAAATCATACATATCATGTCTTCCTCAGACATACAAAATACAATTCAATTGTTTTGGGACACTTTTACATTATAATTTAGAATATAACTCTTCAATTAATCGGTCAAATAACCTATTTTAATGTCAATTCTCACATAAGAGTTAAAACTTTCAAAAACTGTGTCCCTAGAGTATTTATAAAGCTATAAGGCACACTGTTCTATTAGTGACCTTGTTCGACCTTCTTATAAACAGAAGAATAGAGATCATGATGTGTTTATGTACTTTACATCACAGGTAATACAGATTCATTGTTCATCATCTGTTTCATGGCTTATAACTAGATCTATGATGTATTCTATTTAAAAAAAAAACTGGCAAAAAATCCAATACAATCAAAACTATAAAGCAGTGCTCAAGACAACAAATTTAATGGTTCCTTAATAATTAAGTTAGACAAATTCATTATTGTTTAATCAAAGACTTTGGATCTTACATCAAACCATTCAATGCCCTATTGCTCAGAGTATGGATCTTACTTCATATCATTCAATGCCCTTGCTCAGAGTTGTGAGGCCTTCATTATGGAGCAAAAGCTCACACCTCCCTGTGTAATTTCAAGATGGGGGCCCTAGAAAAGTTTAAAGCGGAATTCTTTGTTCAATGTTGACTACACTGTACCTTTGCATTGAAAGATGCAGCATAAAATTAAAATAAAATACTTCGCTGAGCGCAGCCTGATACGACCGCAGAGGTCGAACCCTGAACAGTTGGGGCAAGACACAAAATAAATGTGGTCAAAGAGCTTAAAAATCTATTGCGCAATACTGTGCAATTGAAGATTTCTTCTTTAAAATTTTAAAAAATTTTGAAGAAAAAAAAGTATGAGCCCCCAAAAAAATTGGAACCCCCCTAGGAGTAATTACCCCCAAACTCAATCCAAGCCTTCCCTTTGTAGTATGGAACCTTGTAGTACAATTTAAGGGAGAACCATACACTTAAACACAAAATATTGTCTGGAAACTAGAAAAATGCTTGTTTTTGGTCCTTTTTTTGCCCCTAATTCCTGCATGTTTGGGGCAATTATCCCAAAACTCAATCCCAGCCTTCCCTTTGTGATATGGAATCTTGTGGTACAATGTCAGAGAGATCCATACACTTACACACCAGTTATTGTCTGGAAACTACAAAAATGCTTGTTTTTGGACCCTTTTTGGTCCCCAATTCCTTAACTGTTGGTACCAAAACCCCCAAAATCAATCCCAACTTTCCTTTTGAGGTATTGAACCTTCTGGTAAAATTTCATAGAGATTCACTTCAACAAAAGTTATTGTCCGGAAACCAAATGTGTCTTTGGACGACGACGCAGACGACGACAACATCATAGCATTATACGAACCCCAAAAAAATTTTGCAGTAGTATAAAAAGGACTTTAACGAATAAAGATATCTAACAAATATATACATATCTTTGTCTCCAGATAGAGGTATAGTAATTTATAGCATGATCAAGGCCTGTCTCTCTCTCTATAAACTAATTAAAAACAATCTACACAAGTCTCTTCCTATTCTGAACATTCCTCCAAGGTTACCATTGGGACTTACAACAAAACACTATGTCTACTACCAGTATTTGATAAATCATTTGTCATTTCTTGTCTGTTTTCCTCATTACAAATTCTGACCTTACATGACCTCTAATATTATATTTTGATCAGTGATATCCTTATTGACATTTCCTTTTCAATGCTAGTGTAATTAACCATATTTTTTTAAGGAAAAGATGCTGCATTTCCATTTTAACAACATTTTTTCCCCAATACCCCGGTAGCTAAGCCTTGAAACATGACATCACTTTTGAGAAAAGATTTTTTAAATGAATTAATGATGTTATATGCTGCATTGAAGAACCAAGAATTTATTATTTCCAATCTAAGGCTAATCATGGCATGATATGAAAATACACAAGCATGTGTGGTTGATAATATTATACATTATGCGGGATTTTCTATTGGTGGCCTTCCGCTGTTTTCTGCTCTTCGGTCGGATCGTTGTGTCTTTGACACTGTCTCCATTTCCATTCTCAATTTTATTATTTTCACTAATTATAAATTGATAAGTTAGCTGCATCTATTACATAAACAAAAGAATATAGATTTTAAAATTCAAATAAGATATAAAACTATGGATCTGGAAGTGGCCTGTTTAATATTTGTGAAAGCTTTTGTTTTATAGTAATGATACACACACCTGACCTTTACAAATTATTTCCATCGTTTGACTAAATAATTATCAAAACAGCAAGTAAAAAGTAGCTTTGTCAAATCACTATATAAAATAAGGAAATGTGGTATGATTGCGATTGAGACAATTATCCACCTAAGACTAAAGTTCAAATAAAGTTGATGTAAGCAATTATAGGCAACCGTACAGCCTTCAATAATGAGAAAACCCATACCGTATAGTCGGCTATAAAAGGCCCATGAGAAGAAAATATTAAACAATTCAATGAGAAAAATAACTGCCTAACCTATAACAAAACAATTTACGAAAAAACAAATATGACAGCCACTGAACTACAGGCTCCTGACTTAGGACAGGCACATAAAGAATGTGGCAGGGTTAAACATGTTTGTGAGCACTCAACCTTCCCCCTAACCTGGGACATTGGTGTAACAGCACAACATATGTTTTCATTAGGCTGAAAGGTGCTTGAAATATAGAAAATTATATAAACTTTACCAAAAATCTGTTTTTCTGTCTTTTTGGGAAATAAATGTCAATACTTAACAATATACAAAATGTACATGATATGTTTTAAGTTTTTAGTCATAAAATTTATCCAACTGTTTTTCCAATCAACTGATATTTTTGTTTGTAAATATAATTAATTACTCCACTTAGATTTGGAAGAACTTCTCTTATATAATCATCCTCTTTGATCGATTCTATAAAAATACATCTTAAATTCAAAGGTTAAAGTAATGGGGTCATTTAAAAAAAAAGAAAATTGGCATACACATTCAAATGCATCTGCACAAAGGGAAGAAACTCTACAAAAGTAGTAAGAGATGTAACAGAGTTATCTTTCTTGCAAAAGCTGTTATCATTCTAATTGACACTTCAACATGGATATCATAACTTTCAACTTTTTGGATTTCCATTTCAAAAACCTTTCAAAAAGACAAGTTTATCAGCTGATTTAACAGATTATGTTATCTTGTTTACATTTTCATTAGAAAAAAATGTGAAATAATGTACAAATTGATTATCTTATTCAATTGAATTTTTCCTTTTTTAATGATTGTGTCTTACCAATAATAATTATCATATACATGTACTTATAAACCATCATAAAAGTGCAATATTATGTTGTGAAAATAAAATAAATGGGGAATGTGTCCAAGGGACACAGATGATGCCCCCAGTTGCATATAATGTTATAAAGGGACATAATTCAAGAACTGTAAAAGTGACATTACCCAAATTTGTACTTGATCTGAGTTTTGTGGTAATAAGCATTGTGTATAAGTTTCATAACATTTAGTTGAGTCAAACTAAAGTTAGAAAACGGAAAAGAAAAATTCAGCAATTTTTCCATTTGTAAAGGGGCATAACTTGAGAAAAGTAAAAGTGACACCACCAAAATTCAAACTTGATCTGTGGTTTGTTATAATAATAAGCATTGTGTATATATAAGTTTCATGACAACTGGTTGAGGCAAACTAAAGTTAGAGAATGGAAATAAAAAATTCAGCAATTTTTCCTTTGTAAAGGGGCATAACTCTAGAACGGTAAAAGTGATGCCACCAAAATTCAAACTTGATCTGTGTTTTGTGGTAATAAGCATTGTGTATAAGTTTCAAAACATTTGGTTGAGGCAAACTAAAGTTAGAGAATGGAAATGAAAAATTCAGCAATTTCACCATTTGTAAAGGGGCATAACTCTAGAACAGTACAAGTGACGCCACCAAAATTCAAACTTGATCTGTGTTTTGTGGTGTTAAGCATTGTGTATAAGTTTCATAACATTTGGTTGAGGCAAACTAAAGTTAGAGAATGGAAACCAATTTTGGGATGTACGTACGGACAAGGGTAAAACTTAATCTACTGCGGGGGCATAAAAACTCTGCTGAAGAAGAGTTAAAATGATGAAGATCTCTCTTCGTCCTCAATAAATAAACATATAATAAGGTTTAACAACATTATTAACATTTTATAGCTTTGGTTAGGAACAATTCTATGAACAGAAAAGAATGTTCCATTGAAAAATATTCTTTTTGAGTATTAAGATTGAGTATTATAAGACCAATTCAAGTGTAAATGTAAGTAAAAATTACATTAGAAGTGGAGAAACTTCACCAGTGATGCTGCGAGCCAGTTGATCTAGCATTATCACAAAAAGCAGTATATATCCAAACATACAAATTTAAACTATTATCAAAGGGATATATAAATGTTATTTAGTTGAAAAGTTTCTCTTCCACTAGGGTAAGGTAAAGTTGGGCAGGGTGCGTGATTGAAACAAGAGTGCACATGCTGAAACATCTTCGCTAGCCAAGGGCTACGATCCAGTCCCCTCCTCTCCACCCTTGGCAGATTAAGCCAACATTTGTGATAACAATGTTGCGCCATCGATCAGTAGATAAGTCACGCCCATTCCAACTACATCACTCTTGACCAATGGCAGCCCTTGAACTCTCTTCAATGTGGAGGTGTAAAAATGGTTGCTTCTGGTATTTACAAACTTCGTAAAGCTGGAACTAAAAATTTACATTGACATTCCAACATTTGCGCAAAAAACATACCCAAGAACTTCTATTATTTGATTAAGAACTTTAAAATTGTCACTAAATGTCGTAGTATGTTTTGGGGGGTAAAGACATGTTGCACAATCAGCACGTGGCAGTTGTTCATTTACAAATGATCATCTTAAAGGCGCTTTTTGACTGGATGCAGCCAATTACAATTGCGACCAATGGAAATTATTACCTCGTAGATCCCAAATTCTATCTTATCCACCAAGGGTGGAGAGGAAGGGACTGGATCATAACCCTTGGCTAGCGAAGATGATGCTGAAATGTCTCAACTGCTTTACAGACTATGATTGATTTTCTGTTAAAAGTCTTAAAGATATAAAAAGAGATAACTTCAGATGACATAAAAACTAAACACTTTTTTTAAGCATTCTCTGAACCATAACAATGAGGTCAAGGACAATGGATATATGACAGACAGAAACATTGTGACATAAGGCATCTGTATACAAGAAATGAAGCATCCAGGTCTTCTACCCTCTGAAAGATAAAGCTTTATACAAATAGTTTATGCAACCGCCAGATAGTAATCCCTATCTATAATTTTCTATAAAATTTTCTTTGCCTTGGGGACAAAAGATATGCATTAGTCCCACTTCAAGATTTTTAAATTCAGTGTTTGCTTTTATTTGAACTAAACAGCTGGTAAAAACTTAATGTTATTTTAGTTTAGAACTACATGTACCTTTTACAGATGATGAAAGGAATATGATGTTAGAACTTATTTGTATAGATTTCAATTCATAATCCCACAACTTAAATCTTTAAGGTCAAAATTTCTATTATTTTCAAAAAGAATGTGCCTAAATGAACTCCTGGATACATAAATTGATTATCTTTATAATTTTCATTTATTTTACAAAATCTGTTATATTATACAAGAGTCTATTCTAGCAGAACTGTGTTATGAAGCATAAGGAACAGTTACAAAAGTATATTTGTTAAAGTTCTCTTTATAATTTATTTGTGATAACTGAGATTGAATGGTCTCCCTTTGTATACTTAAAACATGTAGGAAATCACAAACTTTATTATAAAGCAGAATGCAAACTTTATTATAAAGCAGAATGAACAGTTATAAATGTATATTTGTGTATGTCCCCTTTGCAAGGCATTTACACATCTAAAGTTTCATTATATGCCTTAAATTGCATTTAAGAATTCTGTCCTATTTTAAAATCTGAAGTGATGACAGAGCAAACAACTAAAAAATACACAAGCAGTTATCTCCCATCTAACAGCTGGAGAACAAATAAATTTGTGTATTATCAGTCAATGTCAGTTTATTCATGTAATTTGGATTAATACATTCATCTATTATCCAATGATGGGAAAATCTTATTGTAATATGTATTTTTTTCAAATTACGTAATTTTACCTGTACAACTGGATAATTGGAAAACTGAATTATGTAATAAATTGATAATCTCCTTAACAAGTTTCCATTAAATTGATTAACCTAATAAATCAATTAAATATGCAACATATGTTTAGTTATTAAGTATAATAACAATACAATACTTTATTTTGAAATACTCAGACACATACACATGTGTAACAAGAGGCAAAATACATAATCATATTTAAGGTTGCTATAGAACAATTTATTATATAACAACTATTTCAGATGATTTTAATTCTTAAATCTACCATTTACAATTTGGAATCTGACGTAAGAAGGTCATATGAAACTAGGTTTGTCTTTAGCATATATTTGTATCTTAAACAAGTTTTGAATTGAATATCATTACTCAATATCAATATACTTATACCATTTGGAGGTTTAAGGATAAGATGCATGTGACACAAGCTTTTCTGACCCTTAACAATGCAAACTTCTAACATTGATAGTAAACTGATGATATGTTGTGATGTATTTTTGGTAATTCCAGTGAAAAAGTAAGAATGGTCGGGCAATAAAATGTGTCTGCCAGACTTTATTTCCTATATTAGGTCTGAGGACACAGTTATGGTCCTTTGATTTTTGTTGTCTACAAATCTAGTCCTAGTGTGGACAGTGTATAACGTGCAAATTTTTTCATACACTTTCAAAATTTATTTCTTTATATTTTATGCATGAAATATTTAGTAGAGGGATGAAATTACAAGTTAAAATAAAATGCTTCGCTGGGCGCAGCTTGATACGACCGCAGAGGTCAAACCCTGAACAGTTGGGGCAAGTATGGACACAACATTCAAGCTTGATACAGCTCTGAATTTGGATTGTGATTAAATATTTGACACAGCATAGGTTTCTGACACAGAAAGAATGTGGTCTAAGAACTTCAATTTTTTTAATTTACCTATTATGGTCCAATGTCCAAAATCAAAATACATGGTTAGATTCAGCATATCAAAGAACCCCATATATTCAATTTTTGTTGAAATCAAACAAAGTTTAATTTTGGACCCCAACTTGGACAAACTTGAAAACTGGTCCCATAATCAAAAATCTAAACACATGTTTAGATTCAGCATATCAAAGTACCCCAAGAATTCAATTTTTGTTAAAATCAAACTAAGTTTAATTTTGGACCCTTTGGACCTTAATGTAGACCAATTTAAAAAACGGGACCCAAAATTAAAAATCTAAAAACACGTTTAGATTTGGCATATCAAAGAACCCCAATAATTCATTTTTTGATGAAATCAAACAAAGTTTAATTTTGGACCCTTTTGACCACAATATGAACCAATTTGATAGCGGGCCTACAAAATAAAAAATCTAAACACATGGTAAGATTCAGCATATCAAAGAACCCCATATATTCAATTTTTGTTGAAATCAAACAAAGTTTAATTTTGGACCCCAATTTGGACCAATTTGAAAACTGGGCCAAAAATCAAAAATCTAAATACATGTTTAGATTCAGCATATCAAAGAACCCCAATAATTAAATTTTTGATGAAATCAAACAAAGTTCAATTTTGGACCCCAACTTGGACCAACTTGAAAACTGGTCCCATAATCAAAAATCTAAACACATGTTTAGATTCAGCATATCAAAGAACCCCAAAAATTCAATTTTTGTTAAAATCAAACTAAGTTTAATTTTGGACCCTTTGGACCTTAATGTAGACCAATTTAAAAAACGGGACCCAAAATTAAAAATCTAAATACACGGTTAGATTTGGCATATCAAAGAACCCCAATAATTAAATTTTTGATGAAATCAAACAAAGTTCAATTTTGGACCCTTTTGACCTCAATATGAACCAATTTGATAGCGGGCCCACAAATAAAAAATCTAAATACATGGTAAGATTCAGCATATCAAAGAACCCCATATATTCAATTTTTGTTAAAATCAAACAAAGTTTAATTTTGGACCCCAATTTGGACCTTAATGTAGACCAATTTAAAAAACGGGACCCAAAATTAAAAATCTAAATATACGGTTAGATTTGGCATATCAAAGAACCCCAATAATTAAATTTTTGATGAAATCAAACAAAGTTCAATTTTGGACCCTTTTGACCTCAATATGAACCAATTTGATAGCGGGCCCACAAATAAAAAATCTAAATACATGGTAAGATTCAGCATATCAAAGAACCCCATATATTCAATTTTTGTTGAAATCAAACAAAGTTTAATTTTGGACCCCAATTTGGACCAACTTGAAAACTGGGCCAAAAATCTAAAATCTAAATACATGTTTAGATTCAGCATATCAAAGAACCCCATATATTCAATTTTTGTTGAAATCAAACAAAGTTTAATTTTGGACCCCAACTTGGACCAACTTGAAAACTGGGCCCATAATCAAAATTCTAAACACATGTTTAGATTCAGCATATCAAAGAACCCCAAGAATTCAATTTTTGTTAAAATCAAACTAAGTTTAATTTTGGACCCTTTGGACCTTAATGTAGACCAATTTAAAAACGGGACCCAAAATTAAAAATCTAAATACACGGTTAGATTTGGCATATCAAAGAACCCCAATAATTCAATTTTTGATGAAATCAAACAAAGTTTAATTTTGGACCCTTTTGACCTCAATATGAACCAATTTGATAGCGGGTCCACAAATAAAAAATCTAAATACATGGTTAGATTCAGCATATCAAAGAACCCCAAGAATTCAATTTTTGATGAAATCAAACAAAGTTTAATTTTGGACCCTTTTGACCTCAATGTGGACAAAGTTGATAACGGGGCCCAAAAATCAAAAATCTAAATACATGGTTAGATTCAACATATCAAAGAACCCCATATATTCAATTTTTGTTGAAATCAAACAAAGTTTAATTTTGGACCCCGATTTGGACCAACTTGAAAACTGGGCCCATAATCAAGAATCTAAATACACGGTTAGATTCGGCATATCAAAGAACCCCAATAATTCAATTTTTGTTAAAATCAAACTAAGTTTAATTTTGGACCCTTTTGACATTAATGTAGACCAATTTAAAAACGGGGCCCAAAATCCAAAAACTTAATACACGGTTAGATTCAGCATATTAAAGAACCCCAAGAATTCAAGAATAAAACCCCATTGAAATTGATCAAGAAATAAGCAATTTATATGAAGTATCTTCTTTTGCACAATACTGTGCAATTGAATATTTCTTGCTATTGTGCAATACTGTACAATTGACAATTTCTTGCTATTGCGCAATATTGTGCTATTGGATATTTCTTGCTATTGCGCAATACTGTGCAATTGAAGATTTCTTGCTATTGCGCAATACTGTGCAATTGAAGATTTCTTGCAATTGTGCAATACTGTGCAATTGAAAATTTCTTGCTATTGCACAATACTTATTATATAATAATTTACACATCCTGTTTGGTGTGTAACTCCTACCATATCATCATTATTTGCTTTTAAATATTAATCAGAAATAACCAACTTAAAATGGAAAATTTTAAAAGAAAAAAAAAAGGAAAAAAAGAAAAAAAAAGAAAAAAAAAAATCCCCCCCCCAAATTTTTTGAACCCCCTTATGATTCATCACCCCCAAACTCAATCCCAGCCTTCCCTTTGTGGTATGGTACCTTGCAGTACAATTTCAGAGAGATCCATACACTTGAACACAAGTTATTGTCTGGAAACTAGAAAAATGCTTATTTTTGGCCCCTTTTTGGCCCCCAATTCCTAAACGTTTCAGGCAATTACCCCCAAACTCAATTCCAGCTTTCCCTTTGTGATATGAAACCTTGTAGTACAATTTCAGAAATATCCAAACACTTACTCACAAGTTATTGTCATGAAACTAGAAAAATGCTTGTTTTTTGCCCCTTTTTTGGCCCCTAATTCCTAAAATTTTGAGGCAATTACCCCCAAAATCAATTACAGCCTTCCCTTTGTGATATGGAACCTTGTGGTACAATGTCAGAGAGATCCATACACTTACACACAAGTTATTGTCTGGAATTACAAAAATGCTTATTTTTGGCCCCTTTTTGGCCCCTAATTCCTTAACTGTTGGTACCATAACCCCCAAAATCAATCCCAACCTTCCTTTCGTGGTATTGAACCTTATGGTAAAATTTCATGGAGATCCATTCACTTAAACTAAAGTTAGAGTGCGAAAACCAATGTGTCTTCGGACGACGCCGGACGACGCCAGACGACGACGACGACGACGACGACGACGACGCCAACGTCATACCAATATACGACCAAAAAATTTTCAATTTTTGCGGTCGTATAAAAATTAGGTGCTGAATTTTTATGAAAAGTAATGATTTGGTCATGTTAAAAAAGGTCAAAAATTAGTATGTCTGAAGCTATCAAACTGAATTATAGACCAGGGCTTCCAAAACGGTCAACTTGTCTAATAAATAATATATTTATGACTTGTTGTGCCAAACCTGAAACGGACAATTAAAATGGGTTTGCCACTTGAACATAATTCAGAAAAAAATTGAAGTTTTTGCGATCTTTTTGACCTGACCTTTTGCCTTTAACAGCCACATTTCCAGTCATAAAAGTGACATACATGTAGTAAATAAGTACTATCAAAACAAACCCTACTTTAATACCCTCTCATTACTATAAAGGTTAATTAGTTGTCGGACAGTTGGAAAATGCTAAAATTATCATTGATACCTTCATCTATGGTTCATTTCAAATATTTGCTTGAAGAAATAACGTGGAAAGAGCTACTTAAACTCATTTGTGCTTTATAAACGTACACAGATTTTACGTATCTGTCTCTGGTCTGTGTTTTACCATTGTCAAGTCAACATCCGGTAATAGACAATGTGCCTTCTAAAAAAAATGAAGGTAAAGATTCTGAAGACGTAATTTTGCACAAATAAATATTAGTACGCTTACGTTGCACACTTTGAATGATGCAATGTCAAGTTAACAGTTTACGTCAGTACATCGAATTTGTATCAAAAGTCAAGTTAAATATCGTTTTTAAGGCAATCATTGTTTATATGATGCTCAACTGATTACCATGATTGCCTTTTGTTACTGAGTCTTCAGGGATTAAAATCAGGATAAGACAAAAAAAGTTTGGGTGGCACAATATTTTTTTGAAGCCCTGTTATAGACCCCGTAACATAGAATTGTCCATATTTTGCATATTAAAAGAGCTGGTAGACTCTTCTATAATTTTGATATCATTTGTTCCAAAAGTAGTACACTACACTGTAAAAATCTTTTTTGAGATAGAGCAGGTGCAATTTTTTAAATTTTCTTTTATTGTCTAAAAGAAATGCACTACGAAATAACTGTGTTCTCAGGCCATTAGTCAGTCAGGGGTACTACTTGTACAAGTTATTTTTATTTATTTGAAGAAGTAAATAATAATACACTTATATAAGACAATTTGTTATATTCATATTTGCTAATAAGGTTTGAATAATCTCCCCTTAATTTTCTCAAAATAATTACTTATATAAGTAATTTTTTTTTACAATCCCTAAAATTCTTTAGTTTTGGGATGTAAAAATATGCCTTAAACAATTTTTCTCTGGGTAAGCTCATAATTTTTGAAGTTCAACGTTTCATCTCCTTAATTCAAGAAAGAAACTAATTGCGCAAAGATCTTAAGTAATAGGGCAAGGCCTTCAAAAATTGCCCCTTGGAGGCTTGTAAATGAGCAGTGTTTTGAAGATAACAGACATATGAGATTTTCATTGTCCATGAAATTACACTTACATGATGAGTAAAGACATCTGCAAAGTATAGACAATTAAAAATTTTATTAGAGCAAAGAAATCCTGAGAAATTCAAGAAAAGAAGATAGAATGACTGTTTTACTTGTATAAGTAAAAAAATCTGAATGTCTAAGGGACGTAACTAAGCCATTAAAATAATTTACCTATACAAGTAAATAAAATAAACTTGTATAAGTATCTTACAAATTTACTTATATAAGTATATTGATATTTACTTCTTCAAGTTAATAAAAATAACTTGTAGACATACCTGCCAACCCTCCCGTTTTGAGCGGGAGACTCCCGCTCAAATGGCGAAATCTCCCGCTTGCCGGTACCCTCCCGCGCGGGAGTATAGAATCTCCCGCTTTTGGATATTTCAACCTTGAATGACAAGTCAACAATAATTACGTTTTTGTGTCACTGATTATGGTTGTTTTTTCCTGTAAATCACAGACCATGTGAAATTAAATGGCTTCACTTGACAGCTTGGGTGTCAAATATAGTACTAATTAACGATCATTAACGACTTTTGCTTCAAGCTTTGTGTTATACTTCAAAGAAATTTCGGGTTACTTCCCCTGTTTAATCCTGTTTTAAGTTACCCTTCTTAAAATAATGTGAATTGATAAAACAATATAACTAAATACAAATTAAACAAAGAATCATAAAAGGATGGCAAATGAAAGATTTTGTATGCCTTAACCCTTTCACCGATAGCTGCCCAGACAGAAGCTACTCTGAGACGATGGCTTCCCTGGCTACTATTACTCAAGTGGGAGATCTTCATAATAAATGTCAATAAAAACTTGTCTGTAGTTATTTGTGTCTTTATTAAATTCACTAACACCATGTTCACAGTTTTGTTCATGTTTTGATAATTTTTCTTCATAAAATATTCAAATTTTCGGAATTATCTAGGTGAAATTCTCAAAATTCTGCTCTTAGACTCAAAATCGTAATTTTTTAACCCAAAACGGCAAAATTTTGAAAAATTTAATGAGGCTGTACAAATTGAGAATGGAAATGGGGAATGTGTCAAAGAGACAACAACCCGACCACAGAACAGACAACAGCAGAAGGCCACCAACAGGTCTTCAATGCAGCGAGAAATTCCCGCACCCGGAGGCGTCCTTCAGCTGGCCCCTAAACAAATATATATACTAGTTCAGTGATAATGAACGCCATACTAAACTCCAAATGTACACAAGAAACTAAAATTAAAAATAATACAAGACTAACAAAGGCTAGAGGCTCCTGACTTGGGACAGGCGCAAAAATGCGGCGGGGTTAAACATGTTTATGAGATCTCAACCCTCCCCCTATACCTCTAGCCAATGTAGAAAAGTAAACGCATAACAATACGCACATTAAAATTCAGTTCAAGAGAAGTCCGAGTCTGATGTCAGAAGATGTAACCAAAGAAAATAAACAAAATGACAATAATACATAAATAACAACAGACTACTAGCAGTTAACTGACATGCCAGCTCCAGACTTCAATTAAACTGATTGAAAGATTATGTCTTCATCATATGAATATCAGGCACAATCCTTCCCGTTAGGGGTTTAGTATCATACCATCATAACATATATGAGAAGAACATAACCCGTGTCATGCCAACAACTGGTTTTTAAATAAATGTGTTTAGTGCCGATGCAAAGACCCTATAAGTGAATCAATATTAACGCCAAAATATGCAATCTTTAATGACCTGACAACAGTATCGTAACTATATTTTGGCTAGTTTGGCTTCAATTCTTCCATATTCTTTCAAAAAAAATGTTCCCTCATTACAAATTCTCGTAAATTCCGTAAATTTCCTCTGATTTTAACACGGTTTTCAACAAACGGAAGCGCCATGTTTACACTTTCATCCGGGTATTCAACAAAGAAAGATAACTCGTGTTTGCACTGTTTTGAGCGGGAAATATAAAAGAGGTATTCCAATCCCGGTCAAATGGGACTCATCGTCAGCTGTCTGAAGCGTGAATCCCGGTAAACCGGGACTCATCGGCGAAAGGGTTAAGACAAAAAAAATATTTATATTTTAAAAATATCTTAAAAGATCTATACTTCAATTCAATGTTTATATTGAAATTTATAAGAAATGTATTGAATCAAAGTTGTGAAATATTCATGTGCACACACATAATACACCATCTGAGACAACATGGTTGCACTCTGTATCATACAGAGGTATCTGGATTGTAAAGTTGTCCTGATTGGATACAAATGTGAAAAATGAAGAAATAGGAAAGAAACAAACAACACACCAATCTGTAGGATATAACCATATTTAAAGAAACAAAGTATATCTATTAACTCTTAGATGTGTGTCGTAGATGAATAAATAAACATGTCATATATTTCACTTGAAAATGTCGTTCGCGCAAAATCTCCCCCTCAGCTGTCATAGCTGAGAGGGAGATCTCCCTCTTTGAAGGTTTCAGAGGTTGGCAGGTATGTTGTAGAAGTAGTACCTCTAACTGTTAGTCTGTGTTTATAATTTCACTAGAAAATAAATAACCAGGAAAATAAGTCCATACAAAGTTTCAACATTAACTTTTTTACAACTTGAAATTCGAGTTAGTGTCCATGATATTTTACTTTCATGTACTTTCATGTACTTGCTGCAAAAAATTTCTGAACTTTCAGTATGGACACAAAATCAATTTATCATGTTCAGATTTTCTTCTCAGAAATTTCACTAAAAATTTTCAAAAAACACATAAAATGAGTTATAAGGAAACTGAAAATAATTTTGAACTGTACAAATGTAAAGAATGCTTTAAATATATGCATTGTTTAATCTTTAATTTAAATTATTATTATACGTTACATTGTATGAAGTACAGAAACACAATGTATGTATTTTGGCAATATTGTGAATTGAGTTATTTCCCCTTGGTCATAAAACTGACTGTAAATGTGTGGTTAAACCAAAACATAGTACAGCACATCTGGTTTCATGTTAAAATAGGACAAAAATATAATGCCCTTGGATTTTACAGTTGTAGCAAATAAACCCTGCATTTCGTTGCATAATTTTTTTCAGTCATTAACATGTATATCTTGGGTGTTTTAAGGTACCATTCTTTTTGATTGAGTTTTTTAAGGCACCATCCTTTTGATCGGGTGTTTTAAGGCACCATCCTTTTGATTGGGTGTTTTAAGGCACAATTCTTTTTGATTGGGTGTTCCTATGAAATATTACAGAAACATGCATCGACCTAGTTACTAATGCTTGTAATTTTTACTGTAGACTAGTACTGGACAGGATAAAATTTTATTCATGCCAAGTGTTTGTTTACTTGAAACTAAGGCAGAGTTCACAAAATCTTTTTTCCCTGGTGGTCCTTGAGGAAAATCTGCTGGTCCTCACTATTATTTGTATTGCAAAACACCAAAATAGTGTCAGTCCTTTACACAATTTTGGTTGTCAAACCCTATATATATGGACACCACTTTTCGCGAACTCCGCAAAGGTATATCCTGCCTATTTTTTTCTTCAAACATACCAATTTAACAAGGGCAAATAGGGGAAAATCAATGATTGTACATTCCCTTAAGAAGGAACTTCTTACTTCAACTTAATTATTTTTGATAAAATGGTTGTCCTGAAAAGTATGGTATTACATACACACATATATATCTATTTAGTTATTTAGATAATTTTGTATCTGACTCTGAGTATAATATAATTAATAAATTGCTTTACAAGGACATGTATATGATCTGAAGAATGTACATCTTACTGCACTATATTGGGTGAACTCACAAAACACCGGTCAAGAAGAGGATGGTATTTCAAATATCTAAACAGCCAGTAGTAAAATAGCCTGGAATCCTGGCTCACCAGTCAAAACACAATGACATATACTTTTTTAATGAATGTTAGAATGAACTGATGCATAGTGGGATAGCATCATTTCTTGACAAATTGCAGGAAATGTTTTTATTGCCTCGAATTCATTTAAAATGCAAATTCCAGTAAATATAGAGCAAAAATAATCCAAACATTTTGATTGTACATAGCTTAATGCAATAAAATCATATTCACTTCTTTTCCCCCCATTTTTTTGGTTCTCATTTGAACGAAAACAGCTACTCTCCAAGTTATGCATATATGTGTAAACATTCACTTGCCAGACAATGAGAAACTAGTTCTTCCCACCACATCAGAAACAAATGAAGAAATTTTTAATCAAAGAAAAACAGTATATTTAACAATTAACTTAAGATTTATTCATTAAAGATACAATGTACACAGAATGCAATTATCAATAACACTTGTTAATCAAAATTTGGATGTAAATGAATAATGGGAATTCAGACACCATTGAACTGAATTTTCTAATTATATTAAAGAATTCAGAGTTTTAAAAATCTTTTTTTCCCTGTGGTCCTTGAAGAAAATCTGTTGGTCCTCACTATTATTTCTATTGAAAAATACCAAGATTGTGTCGATCTTTGCAAAATTGTGGTGGTTAAAACCTTCAGACCACCACTTTTCAAGAACTCTGAAAGATCTGATTTTTACTCAATATAGCTATGATGGAATCCCAAAATATATACTGTCTTCGGCTGTTGTCTGCTCGTTGGTCGGATTGTTGTCTCTATGACATATTCCCCATTTCCATTCTCAATTTTATACAAATATATTAATTTAAATGTTTGCAAAACAATTAACTGAATCAGAGATTTAAGACAGACTGGACAAAATGACTTCATTTTCCAATGAAAGATATGATCTACTTGGAACAAATTATGGAAGAAATATAAAAGAAGCAGTTTAAAGTATCTGTATGATTAAATATGAAAAGTATCAATGATGCATTTAGTTTTTCAAACCCAGTTATTTTGTAAGTCCATGCATTTTTTTGGTCATATTTTTAAATATACATGAACTAATGGTCACTAATGGAATGAATGAAATAATTCCAAAGAATTGTACATGTATATGTAGATATTACCACTAAATGAAGTGTGTTTTATTATACATCATACATGTACAATGACAGTTGACAATGTATCATCATCATGTAAAGATATTACCACTAAATGCAGTGTATTTATCATAATACAAATAAACTCATATCTGATGTGTAAATAATCTATAGAGACACCGTATTTCACAATGTCATGTAGCGAGTGTAAAGAAAAACTATTTTTTACAAGTTAAAAATAGCAGATTTATCATAATAATATGACAAGTAGCAAAGTGGAGGGTGTTTATACAGAAACATGCTTATTAATCAGTGGAATGATTGACACAAACCCATTCACTTGACTTCGAACTAAAGGAATATAAGGCAACTTGAGACGCTGTATCAACTATGTCCGTTATATACGGATCTCTTTGCTGCAAAGCAGCCAAATTCATTCGACCTTCCGCCATTTCCGCTGATCGATGAAGCCTCGCAATGAATATTTACTCCGTTACTTTTATTATAAATAGCATTATTTTAAAATACAAACAAATAGCATCAGGCAAATTATTATGGCTCTTCACAAATGTTATATTTTAATCAATGATTTTCCATTATTCAATTAATTTTCGGTGACATACATTCTCAAATTGAAAACAGGTGCCCGAAATTTGATCAAGCGGCACACTTATACGTTTCACGGTACAGCGAACACAAGTGTACCTTTACTTCAGTGTCGTATGTCGATGGATTACCGTAACATTTATTTACCGTGAAAAGAAGTGAAATATAGTTTTTCCCGCAATTTACAAATGGAAAGATGAAAAATATACCAATATTATGGAAGAAAACCCCGGATGATGATACAAGAAAAAAGACAAAAATGGACGAATTTGACGATTTGTAGCAAAAATTATTTTAGGATTTTTCTCAGTTTTAAGATCCAAAAATGGACAATAAGGGTCCAGGTAAGAACTTTGTATTTCTTGTGGAAACCTTTATTATAAAATCTGTGTAAGCATTCATAAATTATTGATGTTTTATCAATGGATGATTGATAAACATGGCACCCTCCTGTTGGTTACTGATGCTGAATTAAAGGATGGAAATGAAAATGTTTGCATTGTATTTTCTATTTTCAGAGAGCTAAAGATAAACTATTTCAAACAGATCACCTCATTGAAGAAAAGAATTTGCTATAAAATTTGATGCTTTTTATTATGTTTACATTGAATGTAAAAAAAAAAAAAAAAAAAAATTAGGGACAAAATTAACTATAAATTGCAAGGATTGAAATTTTTTTTCTCAATTTTTTATAACAAATTTTCTCCAAATATTTATCAATTTACACAAATTTGCATTTAAAAAAAATTGATATTAGCCAACAAAGTCGATGAGTAGGCATCAATAAATTGATTATGTAAAAACCATAGATTAGAAAAGTTAAAGATGTTCATACATTGTAATCATGTAGGGAAATCCCCATTTATTTTTAATGGTCATGTTTCCTAAGTTAGAAATGTTCTAAAATATGAGATGGTAGGGGTAGAATAGTTCTGCTTCACAGGTTTGAGAAAAGTGATCAGCTCCTCAAGTCCTAGAAAGGTATAAGATGTGTCAATTGCTGAGTTTAAATTAAATGATTTTAATTTGATGGAGAAGTGTAAAAGAACTAAATATTTGAGTCAGATGTATGTGAAAATCATGTTTAAAAAGAAAAAAAATAGTTAAAAGTTCATACCATTATCCTACATGTACATTGTCCTACCAAAGGTTTACCTTAGGTACACATTCTATTGATAAAATCTGCCTAACCATTAGAATTACCAGTTACTGGAATAATAAGGAATTGTATAGTTTGACTTTATAAACTACATTGTACATGTAATAGATAAAAGGAGTCTCATGGGCTTATACTTTGGTGAAATTGTGGAGGATGTGTTCCACCTTATTTTCACAAATGTTTACAATGATTTTCCCGATTTTGATTCTAGAGAAAGTCTAAATGTCTTCTGTCGCAACAGGATTGTTGTTAGACACTTGACAGTGACTATACGACTAGATGGGGCTCCATTTGGAAAATAGTTAAATCATCCCTCATGCTTCTAAGGAAGTACAAATCACTATGTAATATTTATGCAAAATATTAAAAGGAAATAACTCACATAGAAATATTGATATCAAACCTCCAGAATATGATACTCTACGTGTTAGCTTAAACAGTGGTAGCTTAAACCATAGGAGAATATATACAATGTGTATACATGTAATTACAAGATGGTTTATGTATGATGGCATTGAGACATTTCAAAGGGATGTAAATCTTACAGAACTAGGGGTATTAGAATTGCAGCACAAATAATAACCATCTTCATGCAAGTATATATATATCCTATCATTCAAATGACTTATGTACATGTACATACCATTTGGGGTGTGTGTGATATCGTCATTAGGATTTGTATGTCAATGTGTATTGCAAATTTTTTGTTATTTTTAAAATGTTTAAAGATTTATAGTCCCACAAAATAATAGTATTAAAATGGCAAAATAATTCAAATCATCTTCATATATCTTAACCAAACATCCTACCATATATGAGGTTTATCATTCATATGTTGTCTTACTATCATCCTTCATGAAATGTTATAGCAATTTATACAAAATTTGAAGCAGAATCTAAAAAGATAATTAAGCAGATGGCCATGGGATCGCAAACAGGCGGATACCAGGTTGAATGTTAAGATCCCCAATGTTACAGTCTCAGTTCTAGTTGGAATCAGTAACAGGGATTTAAGAAAAATTTCATAGCAAGTCTGATATCTTTTTGACAGTTCTTAGTATTTTGATGGAATAACGATTGAAAAGCATGCTTGTTTTTCTCATTTATTTGTTTTTTGAGAATTAAAGAAAAATTATCATGATCATACTAACATGATTAACATAAAATCAGTTTGAATATATTTACAGGCAATGATCTGTATTGATAAGCATGATTAGATAAATAAACAAAAAAAAAGTATTGATTATTTGATGAAGAAGAGAGGAATGGAATGTATGATGTAAGATGTATGGAAGGATTGTCTGTACTCAGGAGATAAACAGTAATCTTAATTAGAGCCATACTACACCAATTTACTGTAATAAAACAGTGGGGATCTTCCGATGCTCTAGTATCAGACACATGTTTGTTAATGTTCAGGATGCATACTCTGTGGGCAACTCCGGGTAGATGTCCTCTCATTAAATTGGGTGGCTGGAAAAAAGAAAGTGTAATCAAATGTGTAAATTTGGGTTAATGGAACAAAATTAAGAATATTCTGTTCTCTTTTTTACTGATAGGACATGTACATACATGTAAGCTTCATAGAGAACAAATTTTGCTTTTCTGTTTAATTTTGACACAAGGGGTCAATTTAGGAAAGTTTGAGTTCTGAGCAATAAACCTATAATCCTAAACCAGAGTACTTAGAATGCAACTGAACTATATTTGTTTCTGACAAGTAAAAAATTGCATAAAAGGGGTATGGCAAATTTCCTCTTTACTTGTTTTACACCAATTAAAAAAAAAAATCACAATGTTTATGAAAATCACAGTTTCATCTGGTACTTTATAATTTGACCAACATTTATGGCATATTGCGATATTCTGAACATATGATACATTTGTACATACTGTATATATTTATTAACTATGACTAAAAACTGCTATCTTGATAGATTTTGACAAATTTTACATAGCTGTATTGTTTTTCAGACACAAATTATTTCATCTTGGGTAATCATGGTAATGTAAAAAATATAAAATTATAAAGCCAGCTCAACAAAAATTAAAAAAAAAACATGTAAAATTTGTAACATTGTATCAAAATTGTCCTAAAATTTTTGCACATTTTGATGTATTGAAAATACACAAATGTATGTGTTATTATTAAGATGAATAGTATTTAATCTCTTCTTATTGACTACTTTGGCTCAATTTTGGTTAGTTTTACATTTTGAATGTATATCAAAGGTAGATTTTTCATTTGATTTATTTATGTGCCATTTGGTTATATAACTTAAAATCTTGGAATCAGAAGTGACAACACAATGTTAATGAAGCATTTGTGACAGTATTTCTTTGTTCACTATAGAATTGGTTGTATTAATAATTGATAACTCCTGATTAACAGGTTTATAACTTACAACAATAAAGTGGTACTTTTGTTTGTGGTTACTGAATCAGTACCAGTGGAATCCCATTACTAAGAATAATGGAATTTTGGTCTTGGAATCACATTGAATAGACAAAAAACTGATTCAGCATTACATGATTAAAAAGGGGGAAATTTGTATGAGGTTTTAAACCAACTGAATGGTGATGATATGAATCAAACATTTTTATAAAGATTCCAAAGAAAGAGGTTTGGAGGTGGTAAAAATCATAGTGTACAATATTTGTGATGAATTAAAAGGTAAATTTTGAGTAGTTAAGGCTCAGCCCACAAACAATCTATGATACTACCAACAAACAATCTATGATACTACCATATACATGAAAATATGTACTTCTGTTTGTTATATTTAAAATGTTGTTACTCATGGCTGAAGTTTTATGTGGTCCAAGTAAATACCAACTATAATTATTATTGTCTGAATCATAGACCTTAAACTGAAATGTTCCTGAACATACATGAAATATTTGCCACTGGATGTTAAGCAACCAACAATCAATCAATTAAACTGATTGCTATATTATATTTAAAAATTTTTTGTGGTTCAGTCCTCTCCTAATGTTTTTATATTTTTTGATTGTTTATTTGGTTTGGTTGCTGTCTCGTTGACATATTCCCCATTTCTCTTTTTATTTATTTGCTGTATATCATAGTACATATTTTAGTAAGCCTTGCAGAGATAGAAAGATTCCTAATCAATGGAAATGAAATCATGATCCTTGAGACTGACTTACCACAAAAAACATTAATACCAATTCATGATATGTCACATACATTTTTTTGTAACTCATAATTAGGCTACACTTTTGTTGTGAATAAAAATGATGTAAAATGACAGGGATAGCAATGAATTGTCAAAATGTCTGGTCTTATTCTTCGATTCAATGCAATCATCACATTTAAATGTTAAAACATATTGAAAAGTCTGATTCTTGTAAAACAATAATACAATATCAACACATTTTGTTAAGAAAGATTGAATCATGATAGGCGACAAATAAGACGGTCACTTATGATTGATGTTAAGTGAGTGGTTGAAGTTAAAAAAATAGACCATAACATGATGTTCAGTGTAAAAGATTGCACTCTAGAAACATATATTATTAGGGGGAAAAACATATCAACAAATGTACTTCTTTATTATGCTCTCTGAACAAATTTCAGGAGCATACTCTAATCACTCTGTCCATTCCTCCAGCCGTCATCCTTTCATTCATGTGTCAGAAACAAATTGTTTCTGGATAATAACTAGAGTATCTAGTTAGGGATTAAACTTGTACAAGGGATGATATAGAGAAGGGATTAAAGAAGCCAATTGATTTTGGGGTCAAGATAGAAGGACTTAACTTTTTTGCAATAACAATTAAGATACAGTCTTGGGTTAACATAAAAGTATTTTAGACATTGATCAATAACTTTGTCCAACCTTATTAGAATTTTATGAACTTTTGGTAAAAAGTTTTTTTTTTTATGATTAAGAGATAATGTTTGGAGTAAAATTTAGAATATGTATTTTTTTCTTCTTTCAATATTTTACTGATACAAATGTACCTGTAGATGAACTAAGTTTTTGCAGTTTACATTTACATACAGTATGGAATTAATTTATTCAGACATCAACAACTTTGTCAAACCTTCATAGAATGTTATGAACTCAGAAATTGCAGGTGAGACACTGGGTTCTGTAGAACCCTTTACAAATGTTTTACTTGTTTTTCATAACATTACCACCGTTTATGAGTTTTTATAAT